TTTGTCGGGCTAGCCCCGGTGATTCAGGTAAACACACTACATCATTGGCTGTGCTGTTACCTCTGCGGTCTTCTGGCATGATTCAGCATCTTTGGTGTAAAAGAGAAACCTACCGAGGCAACATTCCGATTTCCGGTCTTTTTTTTTTTTTTTAGCGTGGCTGTTACAACCAAATATGGCACAGTTCACCGCTGTTGCTGCTGGCTGGCGTGCAACCACAGCACGTACCGCCCCTCCGCAAACTCAAATAAACTTGATCCAAGACTTTCCACGTAATAAAGTTTTTCCATCCATCTATCTATTTGCTTGTCTTTATTGCATGCTTCTCCGCAGCGCACGTGCAGGGGAGTGAGGCCGAACATGTAATGAATACGCATCGCGCACAAGACACTGCTGTACGTGAACTGAAGAGGATGGCTTACACACTAAAGACCTTCGACACTTCCCTTACAACACGCGGACTTAGTGAAAATAGAGTGCACACAGAACATAGCCTAGCCCGATACTGTGCTCACAAACTCGCGAACGGCCAGACCACCAAAATGGCGTCACTGCCCGGCGATGCTTCCGCCACCTCGCGGATCGAGGGTCAGGGCATACCCCCTATTGAGTTGACCTCACAGGGACATGAAGGACACTCATATATAATATGTGTCAGTGCTGCCACCGCTAAGCTCCAGCGATGCTCATCTTGGTATACTGCGGAGTGTAGCTTTGAGTGTCGGTAAATTTGGGTATGTGTTAGTCTGCAGTGGTGCCACAATGCATGATCCGTCTTTGGGCTTTGGGGATATCAGCTCGACTGAATAGTTGCTCACAAATTCATTCTATGGCCTTTCTGTCGCTAATATGTGTTAGCATTATAAATAGCCAGCATGTTCGTTCCCCGGTACAGCAGTGTGTAGAAGGCACCAAATGATGACATGTTCTTTCATAATATGAGAGCTTAAAATTTTGGCGGCAAGTTCGTGACAAATACGTTCATATAATATTTTAAAAATTAAGTCATTGGATAAGCGTAAAAAAAAATACTGCTGATTTGAACTTGGAATGTTCATCTGTATGCCTGCAAATGAATCAAACGATGTGATGCATGAACAAGTTCGGCCTCACTCCCCTGCACCTGCACTGCGGAGAAGCATGCAATAAAGACAAGCACATGGTTGGATGGATGAAAAAACTATTTCGTCAGAAAGCAACTGCGAATGATTCCATGTTAGATGACCATCGGCTCAATGTTGACGGCGACCTGTGTGGCCCTCTCCACGACCCTTGTCTAGACGACTAGGTCTGAGCTGGTCAACACGGACTCGCAGTGCTCAAGGGAGCAATCACGCATAATATCCGATGGTGACACCATGCTACATTCCCAAAGTATGTGATCATATGTTGTCACAGCCTGGCACCATTTACATTGCGGTTTCATCTTCTCTGCGTATATTTTGTTCAATACGTAATGGTTGGGAAAAGTTCGCGTGTGCAGTTTTCTCCAGACACATTCCTGCACCTTAGTCAACCGCTTGTGGGGGGTAAGATAAAATTTCCGTTCTAGTTTATAATGATTCGTGATGTCGTGAAAGGACACCAGCCCATCTCTCGCGGGCCTCTCCGGAACAGGCGGCTCACCTGCCCAGCTAACGAGACCTTGAGAACATTCAGGTGAGCCGCCTCGTTCCCAGGGTTCCGAGAGTGTGCTGATACCCATACAGTTTCTATTTCTCGAATTTCTCGTCCCGTGGCCCCTAGCAACAATCATGTGGTGGTTACCAATATTCTGCCCCTCACCAGATTTCAGATGGCTGTCTTTGAATCACTCAGAGTCAAGTCTGACTGAGAATTACTTATAGCTAGTGCTCTTGCCGCTTTTTCTGCAGTTTTTTAGGAGTGGGTTTAAACCGATCCAGAGGCGACCAAGTGTTTCCACCTGTCCACTGCCACAATCACAAAAGCGTCTTTGTCCTTATATTCCGCAATATCGGTATAGACCACCGCTTTGTACTCGCCGGACTCAACATGTACCTAAAGCTCTTGGCTCTTGCCTGCCTGCGCTGGTTATGGTGAATGGGATGCATATTCTTTGGGGCAAAAGTTTTATCTACAAGGCCTGATGTAATTCTCGTCGCACCTGAATTTTAGTGTCCCCAGCGGGAGCCTCAGCACCAATGCCAATCTTTTCCAATATAATTCTGCCCACTTTAGTTGTCGAAAGCCTAGGTTGCTGCATCACCAGGTGCGCCTTCTGTAGTTCGTCCTGGGTGTTGTGCACTTCTAGATTTAACAGGCTTTCTGTAGGCTCATTGTTAGGCAATCCAAGGGCTGCCTTGTAAGTTTGCCAAATCGTAGCCTTGACCTTACCTTTTTCTGTAGCATCCAAATTCATATAAGGTGTCGCATAAGTAATCCTGCTGAGCACAAGCGCTTGTACCAGCTTAGAGAGATCCTTTTGTTTAACCTCTATACAGTTAGTGATTCTCCTGATTAGCCTGACAATAGCATTGACCGTGGTCTTAACATTTAAAGGGCCACCCTATTCTTCCTGTTAGTTTGTAGATAGGCCCAGAATCCTAATCGTTTGAGCTTCAGCTACGGGCCTACCCCCCATGTGTATCTCCAGTGGTGGTAACGGAAGAAAGTGTCTCGCATGTAGCCCTCTGGGTTTGTCCCGAACCACAAAAAGCTCTGACTTAAGCTGAGGGCATGAAAGTCCTGCCCGCTCTGCCAACTCTTTGACAATATTCACTGCCTGTTGTAGTGCTTCTTCCAGATGTGCGTCACTACCGTTGGTTAGCCATAGCGTAATATCATCAGCATAACATGTGTGTTTCAGTCCCAGTATCTCCTCCAGCCTTGGTGGTATTTTAATCAAAGCGAGGTTAAATAGGAACGGCGATAAAACTGAACCCTGTGGGCTCCTTTTGCCTCTCAACGGGAAGGAACCAGATTTGATATCTCCAATTCAAATTTCTGCAGTTCGGCCCTCCAAGAATGATCTGATGTAGCAGAAGGTCCTAGCCTCTGGGCCATTTTCCGATGATTATTTAATATTGCCTCATGCGAAACATTGTCGAAAGCGTTATTCAGGTCAAGCCCCAATATAGCTTTGGTGCCCGTGCCATGCCCGGGATCGACTACGTCATAACATTCTGCATGGACAAATCGGCCCTAAAACCAATCATGGTTAGGGGAAAGATCACCTTGTCTTCTGCATAACACTGAAGCCTGTTGAGAACCACATGCTCCATCGATTTGCCTACGCTTGATGTCAGCGATATAGGGTGCAGGTTCTCCAAGCAGAGTTTCTTGCCTGGCCTAGGAATAAATATAATCCTAGCATGCTTCCATTGTGCTGGGACCTCACCGGCCACCCAATACTTGTTTATCAAGTCAGTGATTGCCCCAACTGATTTGAAATGTAGGTTTCTAAGCATTTTATTAGTAACCCCGTCCGGACCTGCAACAGATGTAGTACGCAGCTGCCCCATGATAAACTCCACCTCCGCAATTGTAAATTCTTCATCTAGTTCCGTGTTTTCCACCTCCGAGTAGTGTGCTAAACTACCGTCTACTCCATCAGTTATGTACCGATTCCGAAGTTCCTGTATAAACTCTCCAATTGTGCCTTCATACTAATGCATTAATCGAGTCATTTGTCCCTGTTGCGCCGATTTGGTTGCTGCTGGATCCAAAAGATGCCTCAACAACTGCCATGTATTTGGGCATCCAAACTTTTCATTTATGGGATCACAAATCTGGCCCCACTGCTTAGCTTGCAACTCAACTGTATAATTATTGATTTTACATTCTAACTTGTTCGTCCTTCTGTGAAGGATGCCATTATGTTTTCGCTTCTTCTGCCTTCTCAAGAGACTCACATGCGCTTTCCACATGTGTAATAGTCTAGAGTCCACCGTAAACTCCTCCTGCATGACTGGCACTTCTACCGTGGTACTCTTTACATCTTCCTTGAACACCTCTACCCATGCGTCCAGGTCTTCAATTTTCCCGTTCACAGCGTCTGCCCTGTTTTTCCTAAATCTGTTCCAATTCATAATTCCATGCCCCTTCACTTTGTATTTATGCTTTTCAGCACTAAACGTCGTGAAAAAGATTTAGTGATCACTTCCTAGTGCTTGTCCCGTGTTAATCCGCTTTGCATTACTGATACATTTAATAAACGTAAGGTCTGGAGAGGTATCCATGCTTATGCTGTTGTTTATCCTCGTATGAACTTTTGGATTGTTTAACAGCATCCATCGCAGATCCCAGGCAACTTGCCAAGTTGCTTTGGCAAGTTGTGACATTGGTGTTTTTTATGTATTGAGTTTCAAGCACTGGAATTGCTCAGTATTAGAATACTGAAGAGGTATGCCGTTCTGTCATTGGTGTTTTTTATTTACCGAGTTTTTTTCGTTCGATATTGGTTACGAACACCGGTGAGAGAGGTGGCAGACAACTCCGGCACCGCTGTGACCCGTGTTCTGATCTTATCGCAGCTCTCGCTGCAAAAGGCTCTTGAAAGGCCGTTCTTTCAGCTTTTGCTGTGACTGCGCTGTAAGTTCTGTGCAGGCTTTGCACAGAACGCACTGCACATTAGTCAGTTTGACGGTACTTGAGTATCTGCTGGGCCATCTACATTCTCTTTTAAAGAAAGCGTTTGCTATTGTACAGTGTTACTTGCAATGTTGGCAGTGTTATGAGGAAACTATTTGTGGGCAATTTATCTCGTCCTTGAATTTCCCTTCTTGTGAGTTTTGTCTTTTTCTGAATCAAGAGCTACATTACGTAAAGCTCACTGATGGGCTCGGCAACTCGGTTGGCATTCATGAAAACATGTGCCGGGCAAGTGCGTTGGGACAGTTAATAAATTCATCCACAAGAGTTACCATGTTTTACTGTGAGCATTTGCTTAGGCAATTGTTTACAGAGTTGGTACCGTGATATGCAGCGCTATTATCAGTACAGTATCAGCCAGCTCCATGCAAGACTGTTTGAATTTGCAGGTGCTTGCTGTGTCTCTACACCACGGGTCTAATGTTGAATTCCAATGGCAAAGCCCGAGCAGCCGACGGACTCTGCGAGCGAGCGCGCAACTCTGGAGTAGAGCATAGCCTCCAGATTCGTGATGGGAACACAACACATGCAACTGGAGCAAGGTGGAAAGGGTAGGTATATCTTTTGAGTGCCGAGTTGTCCAGAGTACTTTGCATGCACAGATTTTAATTGGCTGCCAAATTACTGCTTATATACACTAGTTTCAATATTGCTGTTCAATGAATCCCTCCTGTGGGAAGTTTTCTGACTAGGAACTGTCGCTATTGAGCAGCATAACAATTTGTCAATGTGGTTGATTGGGCGAGTTGGTGATACATGACTGTTTTGAAATGAGAGCGCACTACTTAGACGCGAACAGAAAGAAAGGGACAAGTGCTTGTCCCTGTCTTTCTGTCCGCGTCTAAGTAGTGCGCTCTCATTTCAAAAAAGCGTAAACAATACCACACAATTTGTTGACTCTATCATCTATGTTGTCCATAATTATTACCAAAACAGGCGACTACTGGCGGTGCAGTCCCAAGCAGGAAAATGTGGTAAAGGAAGTACGTCACGCTGAGTTTTGGTCTACTGTTGATTTTTATGGAGCAGCTTCTCATGTTCCATGTAGTAACTTCCGCACTGAATCCACTCTGACTTCCTCATTGAAACTCTTGACTTCTGCCCTCACTCTGTCATTGGAACACACTTACTCCAAAAGTAACAGAACATCTCGCTTTGACCATGTCACCATGTCATTGGAGTTCAACACAAACTCATGGCATCGGACACCCCCAAGCATAGGTGTATGCACGGGCGTGGGAAGAGGGGCAGTGGCATAGCCAGGGGGTGGAGCACTGGGTCACTTTCTGGCTGTGTTGCCCAGAAAATGATGACCAGGATCAGAAGCTCTGAAGCACCTCAACAGCGGTTATTCGGAATTTCAGTTTCTCAATGACGGCACAACTAATTTTTAGAGTTGCGGCAGTAAGTAGCGGTAAATGTCTTGATGCTACTCGTTGCAATTTAGATTGGCCGTAGTGTATTGCATAGTTGGCATCGTACTGGGATAAAATGGAGGCATTCTTTCCAGCATACATACCACTTTGTCAGGGATGACGAGGGAAGTGAAGAAAGAAGGGCAAGAAAAGAGAATGAATGGGCAAGAGGCCGAAAGAGAAAAGCTTGGAGGAGAAGGACGAAGTGCACGTGGGGACACCATATTGGAGGAGTGCGCGCACGAAAAAAACGTTGGCACGGCGGAGAAGAAGACGGCGGGTGATTGAGGCAGCCTGGGTCCTGTCCCAGCACTGCAGTGCGTCGAGATCCGCCTGAGTTGCCTCCTCAATGAGCCACCGTCTTTGCGCTCCTGTCGTCCAGCTAGCGGGCGGTGCAGCGAGTTGCCAGGACAGGTCAGCGTCACGCTACCGACCTTCAACGGGCCCGGGTTCGCAGACACTTGTTGGCGACGTCAAAGGCGCATGGTCCAGAGGGGCTTGGAACGTGTCCAGAGTGCCTCCCGGCACTAGTCCAACCACCGCATAAGAACGACGTCCTCACACTTGGGAGCATTTGGGGCAGGCCTTTCCACATCAGCAGGAACAACAAATCTGGACGAACGTGGTAAGCGCGGGTGTCGGCGTGATTGATATTCGTCGTAGGAGGCCGAGACCTTAGAGACGTTAGTTACTGAGTGGGATGATATGGACGCCAGTGGAACTTGGCTGTAACAGAAATGATACGTTATTTCGCTCTGGGGACATAGCTATTTATTTTTGGCTTCATTTTTCTTCGTGTAATCATTTATATCTGTGTGTGGGTGTGCAAAGAAGGTCGTGTTTTTGTGCCACACACCCTGTGCCCCGCTTTATGTGTCGATCCCGCTGACTCAAACAAAGTGCGCCCGGAGACTTCGTGACACACATCTTTAGGCGAAGGTGAAAGACAAGCAATATTTGTATAAATTGGCTTATAAAGCAGAAAAAACAATTAACAAAATGTTCTGTTCATAACTTCGCTAGTACGAAATTCAGATGCACTACAAAAGTGTACTTCATGTAGAAGGGATATTGCTAAGCCAAGAAATTTTGCTTATTGGTGACCATTTGTTCCTTTCTTTCCGAGGGGCATTCACCAAATCTTCGGGGACAATTACTGTTATATGAAGGGCATCGTCACGAACCCTGAGTGTTTACTTTCTTCCTTTTTGATTATGTGACATTACTTCATGCTACTAGATGTATTTTCTAGTTATCTTTCATTTCTTCAGTCTTTGCTTAGAATGCAAAATAAATTTATCTTTTGTGTTGTGCACATGTGTGTGTTAATTCTGGGCTCTAGCATATTCACTTTGCAGAGATTCTATTGTTTAGGGGCTTGATGGAAGTGGTGCTGGCTGCATTTTAATATCTATGTATTGCAAGCATCATTCATTATTCAGGGTACTGCTTCAATTGAGATAAACCTCTGAAAAGTGTCTGATTTTATTAGGTATTTCTCAAGTTCTTTTTTATTCTTATCTTTCCTTAGTTATCTTTGGTGCCCCTTAAAGCATGGAGAAAGTAAAGTGATGAATGAATGTAGACTGAAAAATTATTTTGTGGAAGCGTTATTATCATTATTCTTGGCATAATAGCTTTAATAACTATAATAAAACAGATAAAGGTCAAAGTTTCATTTTTAAATTACATGCCAAAATCTTGGCATGTGGATGCCAGCTTGGCCTCGCTGATTTCGAAGTGTTTCTTTATCTTCCTGCCTTGTCGGCTAAAAAATATGCTGAAACTCCGTGCATTTCTTTCTGCTCTCATAGTTCAATTTACTTAGTTTTCACTGATTGGGACTGCATAGGCCTATAGTAGGTGCCGCCCAAATGTACGAGGTTGCAGCGAGCTAGTGTGGAAATTTCAAGGTAGCATTGTAATTTTGGCATTATGTTTCCAAGTTTTCTCCCTTACCAAGCATATTTTCAATGTGATTGTCGTGACTTTGTCATTGTGAAAGGGTAATTTACAAAAACGAGAAAAGTCGTTTTTCTCTTCAGTGTCCCTTCAATGCAGGCACCCCTTGCCATTTGAGCATCACCACTGAAGAAGTAGGAATTTATATTTCTGTTGCCACGCTTTACGCTATTTAGAGTGGCATAGATTTTGTTATAGCAATTTTTAGGGCATGCTTGCATGTGTAAAGATATGTAAAAAATTTCTATATACAGTTGCAAGTAACTAGAAAGTGAACGATTGTGGTAAATATATATTTTGGGTAACAGCAAGCGCATTTAAATAACCTGGCATTGTTGCAATCGCAGATGTGCACACAGAGTAAATCTAAAAGGCAGATCGGTGCCGCTTTGGCTCTTAAATTGCCCTTACGTCTTTGTCACTGAGGAATTTATTAATAGGTGTCAGTCTCAATTAATTTCTTTGCCATTTCAAATTATAACTCCAGTGGCTGAGTTTTGATAGGAATGAAACACTTGGGACATCATTTAACCATGCATTATGTTAGCAGCTATTATAAGCATTACAAATAGATCACCTAGCTCTAAGTTGTTGCTGTGCATTCCAAAGCACCATACATTTTTTCATATCTTCAGTTTTTTCACTGTCTTGAAAGTACAGCATTTGACATTCTTTTATGAAATCACTAGTGTACGGGTGTTTTGGTTAACTAGATCAGTTAATTTTTTTTAGGATGCTAATTTCTTCTGATTACTTATTTGAATGTTTGTTCTAATGATGTATCAAATCATATTCATTTCAGGCACTTTCAAGCTGTATGGTGCAGCTTTGGACCTGATGGACCACCAACAATTTCGTTGAAAAATTGATTTCATTTGCTTTTATTGAATGCTTCAATAAAGCCTGAATGATGTTCATTTATTATTTTGATTGAATGTGGTTGCTATGACAAATTTTCATCATTGCATTATGATGCAAGTGCTGTGATCCATCACTTTGTTTTCTTATTTTTACATCAATTCAGCTATAGTTTCGTCAGTGCTGGAGTCACTGCATGACTTCTTTTTTTCAATAATACGTTAATTAGGCCCTTTGAGAACTGTCCATGTCATTTGATTTTACAAACCTTGTTTTCAATAGCTTAAGGCTGTGAGACTTTTGTGCATCATTAAATACAAATAACAGTTCACCTGATTGACTACCACTTTCATGCATATTCAGCAGAGTTGTGATAATTTCAAGTTGGCCAGTACATGTATGTGACACTAATAATGAGTATCATGGTGGTATAACAAACGTCCCAACTTCATTGCCATATTGCATATTTTCTAAGTGCCCAGGAACGTGTTTGAATCAAAAGTGGAGCTCATAATTTGTTGTTACGGCAAACATTCGAGTGTGACACCTTTCTTCTTTCTTCCTTGAAGAAATTTGACATTTTTTCAGGTTGATGTATTTTGAAAAGAAGCCTGAACCAAGCACAAAGCTTCATTTCATAATGTAGTAATCTTTTATGCCTGATAGTTTTGACAGTTGGCAATATTTTCGTTCCCTTTTTTTTTCTCTCTAGGTTACCAAATATCAAGACTACTCTGATGCCACTTTTATATGGGGGAACATTATATCGTGAACCCCTGCTGCCTACCTTTTGCTGAATTTGTGATATTACTTTTTTGTAAATGGGTGTTTATTCTAATTACCTTGCATCTTTGCACCAGATCCTTTTTGTGGTGTTCTCTATGAACAACCTAATTTCATCTTATTCTGTTTTGCGCATCAATTTGATCTTTTTAGGTTGTAGCTAGTTCGAAGCTATCTTAACGACCACATGCAGTTGGACATTAACAAACGTCAATCTCAGTTTTCTAATTTCGAATCAGCTTCTTCAATGACCATTTACCGAGCAAGTGTTGAAGGTTTACCTACCGTTCTTTGTTTCATAAATTGCCCTTAAAGCATTTTTAAGAAATATTTAGTGTTGAAGAGTATTAGTCTCATTTTGCTTCCCTGGTCTTTTATAATTAGAGCTAGTCACTAGATTTAAATAAGGGTGAAATTCTGAAACACTTGTTGGATTTAAGTATACATATAAAAACCCTAAGTAGGTCTGATTTAACCCACATTTTTTCACTTAGACCTGGCATAAGTGTATAGGATTATTCAGACCTGGCATAGTGTATAAGTGTATAGGATTATTCACGTGCCAATGATGTGAGCGTACTAGATTACCTTGATGATAGTCTGAGTGCTTTTGGGGGACATGACGCTGCTAAACTTTGGGACGAATTTAAGAATATTTGTATGCACTGTATCGACAACTTTATTCCAAGCAGAACTAAAAAAACATCCAAACCTACTCCCTGGATGACGCGTGAGATAGTGCATGCGAAGAGAAAAGTCAAACGTCTGAGACGACGGGGTATTTCTCGTGACGAAATCGTACCTTGCCAAGCTAAATTAAACGAGGCTGTTAGGGCAGCTAAACTTCGTTACTTTCAATTTACCCTGCCTAACTTCATCCGAACTGCTCCCAGCAAGTTTTGGAGCTTTCTCAGCAAAAAAAGTAAACCAGTTGACCATATTATGCACGAGGGCAATCCTGTCGTCGCTAAACAAGAGATCGCTGTTCACTTCAATGCTTATTTTAATAGTATATTTTCAAACTCGCCTGTTCCCCGTTGCCTGAATCACACATTGGTGAAGGATGACTTTAGTTTTGTTTCTTTGCCTGGCGTCTTTTCTATGCTGTTGAATATAAAAACAAAATCATCACCCGGGCCTGACAACTTACCAAACGTGTTTCTTCACAGATACGCCGAAATGCTATCGCGTTTTCTTGTTATCATCTTTCGTGCATCACTATCTTCAGCAGTGCTTCCGAACGACTGGCTATCTGCTCGTGTCATTCCTATCCTAAAGAAAGGCGATCCATCATTAGTTCAAAACTACCGCCCCATATCACTAACCTCCTCTTGTTGTAAACTTTTAGAACACATTATTGCTAACGAAATCACTAGGTTTCTTGATGATCGAGCTATTTTAACTCCTATGCAGCATGGATTTAGGAAGGGCCTCTCCACTGTAACCCAATTAACTACTGTAATTCACAGTCTCGCTAGCGTTGTCGACAAATCAGGACAAACTGACGTCATATTTCTGGATTTTAGGAAGGCGTTTGATCTCGTGTCACACGCGAAACTAATCGAAAAACTTGTTCATCTGGACGTTCCCTCATACCTAGTAAATTGGATTTCTGCTTACCTCACCAACCGTAGGCAATTTGTTGCAATTGATAATTGCTGTTCGAGTGACCTTGCTGTTACTTCTGGAGTTCCCCAAGGAAGTGTTCTTGGACCTTTATTATTTAATATATACATTAATGACATAGTTGACTCTATTACTGAACCTGTACAGATAAAATTATTCGCTGATGACTGCTTACTCTTTAATGAAATTACCTGCCAGCAAGACCAAATCACCCTAAACTCTAACCTTCAAAAAATTTTAACATGGTGCGAACGCTGGGACATGCAGCTTAATATTGATAAAACAGTATTTATGAAAATCACCAAAAAAATTAATAAACTTTCGTTTACGTATAATCTTGCATCCATGCCTCTTACAGAGGTTGATGAATATAAGTATCTGGGTGTCATCATAACTAATAATCTCAGTTGGAACTCCCACATCTCTCACCTTTGCGACTCAGCCTTCAAAAAACTCTGCTACCTCAGACACAAATTAAAACATGCTCCTCCCGAGACCCGTCTAACCGCTTATACCTCTCTTGTCCGTCCTAAGCTTGAATATGCAGCTATCGTATGGGATCCTTACACTAAAACTAACATCGATGCGCTAGAAAGGATCCAACGTAAAGCAGTAAGATTCATCTTCTCCAAATATCGCACCAGTGACTCTCCAAGTGACCTAATGGCCCAACACAACATTCAGTCCTTGCAACTAAGAAGAAAAATTCACAGGCTTAAATTTCTATTCTTACTGTATAATAATAAATTGTCTCTTTCTCCTGAACCTTACATAAAGCCTCTCACTGCTCGCCGAACAAGACATCGCCACTCTGCCACATTAACGTCTTACAATACCAGAACCAACATCTTCAAGTATTCCTTTTTTCCTCGAACAGTAGCCGACTGGAACAGCCTACCTCTTAGTACACTCAGCAACACCGACTCTATCGCATCCATTTCATCTTAGATCTAGCCCTTCCTCTTTCAATACAGTGATCCAGTATTTTTCCCCCCCCCCCCTTTTTTTTTTTTTACTAACTCCTTTGTACATTGATTAGATAGTTCTGTATTGTTTATCTTCTCATATTGTATATTATTTTTCTTTGTATCACATTTCTTTTAGTGCTCATTTACTTGTTAGTAGATTCACTTTGTTGTTGCTTTGTATAGATCCTACTTGTATATATTCTTGATATTTGCAGACTTTGTACTTTTGTTCGTACTTTTCCCCTCCTGCCTGGGCCTATTAAGGCCTGCAGTATTCCTAAATAAATAAATAAATAAATAAATAAAACTCTGCGACTCAAATCAGCTTTAACATGAGCAACAGCAGTGGAGTCACCTATCTTGTTTTCTTTGTGCAGCAACGATGGCCAGCAGTCCAGCTACTACAGATTGTGTGAAGAAGCCACGTCGGCGGGCCTGCCACCTATGTAACATGTGTGACTATAAAACTTATCATTCCGGTAGGCTGAAGACACATATAATGGTTCACACTGGTGAACGGCCTTATGAATGCCACCTGTGCCCGCGGAGCTTCTCACAGTTTGTCTTGTTGAAGAATCACCTGGTCACTCACACATCCGAACGGCCATTTCAGTGCCCTTTATGCCTTCAGAAGTTCCGGCGCAAAGACATCCTCAAGAGACACCACCAACGGCGGCATGAATGTCATTGACCATTTCAGAAGGAGTTCTCCTGTTGGATCCTTTCTTTTGTTGTTGTAAGAGAACGATTTACTGATTTTCGGGAGCTCTGTAGCATTGCCAAGCTTCGTAGGGCTGCAAAAATCATGAATGGAATAGTCCTTGCACTGCCTCAGTACTGCTGCTAGGGCATCAAGATGCATGCAATGAAACACTGTGACTATGTTAGATATCCTTCTTTATTGCCTCCTTTGCAGAGTTCTTGATTGATCATTTAAACAGAATGTGTGCAACGAGCATATGCTCTCCAAAAAAAGTTAGGTTCATGATGTTTAGCTGACACTCCTCTACATAGTCAACTTCAAATGTTTTGTAGGCCAATAACTGTGGCATGCTGCAATTTGGTTCTGTGGAATCTCACAAAGAGGTGGAAAGAGCAAGAAAGGGGAACTGACAACCACCTCTTTGTAGCGTGTAGCGTAAAGGCCATACGGATTTCTCAGAAAGAAAGCATCTATATATTGCCAAAGAATTTATTTCATTCCTGGATCGGGACACAAGGACAGGCACTGACTCTCAAGTGAACATTTTATTGAAGAAACGAAGCATATGTAGATACAGGAAAGCATTTAAAAAAATTAGGTTACAATTCTAATCATGTGTGCGACGTCAGATAGTGGATTTTCTTGTCTAACAGATCAAGTGACAGAATGCACGCACATCGCTTGGCTCTCTGGCAGATAGCAAAGGCCTCGTACATCCCTCTTTGATCCCTTTGACAAAACTTGACGAGGACTCATTAAAAGCTCATGCAGGCCTTTGATGAGAAACTTGTATGGAATTCCTTTTGGCTTGGGTGCTACATATGGGTCGTTTTCAATTTCTTAAGATTTCTGCTTATATGAACTTTTCTTTGTATTAAGAAACGTTGTAATGAGCTTGAGAAAGGTTGTTGCATATTATTTTTTCAAATTGCTAGTATGCTTGCTGTTGAAAGACCTCTTTCTCTAGAGTCAAAGAAAGACTTCAGTGCTTTCTTGTGTGTTAGCTTACAGGGACGCGTCGATGTTTTCAAAGGACTGCAAGTTGATGGCTGTGTGATGTCCCCGCAAACGCGGACTGAACCCCAGCCATTTTAAGATGTTTTCGTTCATTTCTTAAACCCACGTCGGAATCCTAGAAAAGCGGCCACGGGTCAAGGAAGGGGGGGTGCGAAGAGTCATTCCCTGGGCCAAAAGGAAGTATGCTGCGACGACTAAAGTGACAAATTGGACATCGACGCCAAGAACCAACCTTGGGCCCCCACTCGAGCAGCCAACTCCGAGGCCCCGACTACATGGACATTCCGTGAGACGAACTTCACCTCCCTTACTTAGACGAGCTTTGCGGAAAGGGATGCGGCATATTGAGACATTGCGTGGTTTTATTAATTAATGACTTTATCATTTGTGTCATCGTGTGTTTGCTCTGTATTGAGGCACCCTTGTGTTGTCACCGTTACTTTGCTTATGTATCCTGTGTAGCGTGTCGTGAGTATTTACTGATGTGTTACAATTTTGTGTAACAGAGATGTCGTACACAAGCAGTATGCGTGTACGCCATTTGCACTTGCTATTGAATTAAATGCGTCCATAATTAAGAAAAGATCATAGCGTCTCTTACTTCCCGGCCCCAGCACGAATCCCTGTAGGTGGAAAGTGATTGAGACACGTAGCCAAGAGGGAACCGGATTTAAAAGGGGTTGAGTGGTCTTCCCTTTCTTTGGCGATCGGTGGCGTAGCGGGGACGTCTCAGCTGTGCAAATTAAGGCACCAGTTTAAGTGTGAAATGGGGTATTTTTTCATGCTCTTTGAGCATTCATTGAAGTTAATATTGAAATGCAGTTGGTGTCTCCCATCGTCTTGTATAATATTTCTCATGGTATTTTTATTAGAAACACCTGTCATTTGTTGACAGGTGTTTCATGAGAAACTTTCATGAGAAACTTGTATGGGATTCCTTTTGGCTTGGGTACTACATATGGGTCGATTTTAATTTCTTAAGATTTCTGCATATATGAACTTTTCTTTGTATTAAGAAACGTTGTCGTGAGCTTGAGAAAGGTTGTTGCATATTATTTTTGTAAAGTGCTTGTATGCTTGCTGGTGAAAGAACTCTTTGTCTAGAGTCAAAGAAAGACTTCAGTGCTTTCTTGTTTGTGAGCTTACAGGAAGGAGTCGGTGTCTTCAAAGGACTGCAAGTTGATGGCTGTGCAAAGTGAGGCACCAGTTTGAGTGCGAATTGGGGTATTTTTCATGCTTCTTGAGCTTTCATTTAAGTTCATATTGAAATGCAGTTGGTGCCTCCCATCATCTTGTATATTATTTCTCATGGTATTTTTATTAGAAACCCATCAGAACACTGACCTGTCATGTGTTGTTCATTTAAGATTTGTCTTTCTTATGAAACAACACAGTAGTTTGGTCACACTTGCACAGCATTCTGACGAGGACAGAACGAAATCAAAATCTCAATAAGAATTGCGCTCTTCATTGCACCTTAGGATGCCCAGTTTTAACAGTGCTTTCACAACACTCATTTGAGTTCATTCAAGCTAGCTTGTGACAGACTTGTTGCCTGTCTATTGAAAGTTTCATTCTTGACATCCAGTAGATTGCAGCATAGTTTCCCATAAGCACACACAGGGAACACTTGCCCCATTGTAACGGAAGCTACAATGCATGACACTTTAGCCAGCATGGCAATTATCGGTAGTAGTACAAAGATTTGTCTAAGCTTTGTTTTTTGGCTCTGCTTGGCTCCTTGTGGCTTGTATTCACTCTGTTGCACGACTAAATTCAACGCTGAGGTTACACTTCACCTTACCCTTTTCAGGCTCACGAATTCAAATATGCTTGTGAAGTTCACAACGATTTGTTCTTTTATCCGAAAGAAATTCCAAAGCACTACAATAAACGAAGCCACAAGTGCTTCTGAAGCCGCTGGCATGAAAACTAGGCAAGTTTTTGTACCACACATCATTCTCATGGCGACTAAAGGATTGCAGTGCCAGATTTTCCTCTATTAATTATTGTAGGAAACTGTGCTTTGCAGTGCTGATCAAGTTCAAGTAAGCCTTCACAGAATGAGAATATTGTTGCGTATGCCTGGGAAGAAAACGAAGATGGGTGAACAGGCTGGCTGCCCGAAGCTGAAGGACGAAAGAAGACGACGACACTGCAATCGTCAACCTGTTGGCCACTCCGGCGCTTCTCTTCGCGACCAAAATAAACGGCCCTCTTCAGCCGTATACGTCCTGGTCCTCCTTGTGCGTAATAGATTGGTGGAGGTGCGGCTTAAGACAAATCCAACGACGGGAGCTTCACGTCCAGGACTTCGCCGCAGCCGCCGCCTTTCCGGACTCCCGCCTGCGCCGGTCGTAATGGCCCAAGATCAGTCATCTAACGCTTCAAGGCCAACTACAGTGGGTTCCGTGCCCTACTACCGAACCCCACCAACCTTCGGAGGAAAATCGGGAGAAGATGTCGACGCGTGGCTCGTCCAGTCCAAGCGAGTCAGCTAGTCCAACGGCTGGGATGCTGCCGCTCAGCTCAGTAATGTGGTCTTCTGCCTTACGGATACTGCGCTTGTGTGGTATGACAACCGCGAGGACACACTGACGACGTGGGACGTTCTTGTTGCGGAGCTGAAAGCGTGTTTCGGCGACTCGAGCATCAAAAGGAAGCGGGCTGAGCAGACATTGTCTCAATGCGCGCAGCTACCAGGTGAGACATGTACTACATATATAGAGGATGTGCTGAAGCTCTGCAAGGCGGTCAATGATCAGATGTCAGAAGAAGACAAAGTAGGACATTTGCTGAAAGGCATAGCCGAAGATGTCTATAAGTTTCTCATCGGAAAACAGCACCTGAGCTCGGTGTCCGACGTGATTCGGCATTGCCGAACTTTCGAACAGCTGAAAATGCGCAGAATTGCTCCAAAGTTCGGCCGGCTCACAAATGTTACAACGGTTGCCAGCATCGACACGAGCTCCTGCCCAGACCTGTCCTCGACGATTCGACAGATCGTTCGCGAAGAACTTTTTCGCTATAGAGAACAGACACGCTCAGCAGTTGATCACCATTCTATAAACGACCAAGATTCGGTATAGGTGCCATGTGAGGCTGTGCCTGCGCCGCCGCCTTCTGCGACCCCTTGGCAATCGATGGTCAGTGCAGCAGCTGTTGAGTACAGCGCACCCCCACAACCAAGGAGAGCACCACGCTTGCTAGCTCCTCGCCATGACCGGCGCCCTCAGCGTCCGCCTTCTTCGCGACGCCCGGTCTATCTTTATGATATACGGGACGAACCAAACCACTATGCCAGGGAAGATGATGTTCGATTCATTGAGGAACAAACAGAATTTCGACCTCTCATGGTTTGCTACTCCTGTGGTGTTCCAGGACATATTTCGCGACTTCCCAACCGTCGACGTGTAGCCCCATGGTATGGCCACCCACCACACTTTGCACGGCCTTCTGAACCCGCGAGCAACGTACTATGGCCCACCACAACACTCCACACGATCGTCTGATCGACCGCACGACGACCCTAGGTCAACACACCTGCTGCCTCGTGAAGACTACTGGACACGCAGCTTCTGGAACCACTCCCCTACATCTGACAGGAGCTTGACGTCCCCACCGCCTCGTGTTCCCCGTTCTCCTTCACCACGGCGTCGCAACACATCTCCTTTGCCACAGGAAAACTAGCAAGCGCGGCTGATGGAGGTGAGGTCGCCGGAGACGTGCTAATATCAGAAATACCTCCTGTGTTGATGCTCAAGAACAAAGTACGTGTTTTTGTTGACGATGTGCCTGTGATGGCTTTGGTGGATACGGGTGCAACCATTTCGGTCATGAGTGTGTGTTTTAAAGATACCTTGGGGCGGAAGGTTTTATTTAAGTGGAATCAAGCTTCGAAGTTTTGCGGAGTGAGTGGTGAGGCACTGCATCCTGTTGGTGTGTGTCAAGCTGACGTGTTTCTCGGAAGCCGCGTTATCCCAACGGAGTTCGTAATTATTCCGCAGGCGACACATGATGTTGTTTTGGGTATGGACTTATTGAAGGAGTGTGGTGCGACTGTCGACTGCCGCACAGGGACAATAGTTTTGAGTGATCAAGTTCCGCCAGCACTCTTAGAAAACACTGTGGTTGGTGAGATGGCATTGTGTGTCTGTGGCGACACTATCATACCACCGTTATCAACCGTTCGTGTACCTGTTGGTTGCAGCGACAGCTATTCCGCCAACTTTGATGCCAACGTAGAACCAGTGTATGCCAACTGCATGAAGAAGAACGTGTTGATCCCACATTGTGTGGTGTCGATCAGTGTGGACGCGCTGGTTTATGGACTGTCAATCGCTCTACAGAACCCGTGATGTTACCAGATGGTCTAAAGTTAGCCGTCGTCAGTGGACAATATGAGGCCTTACTGGTGACCGAGCTTAGAGATGCGCCGGAAGAGCATCGTAGTCACAGTTTTGATACAGCTCTTCTGTCAATGGTGAATAAGTCGCTGAGCACAAGTGAACGCCGAACATTGGTCAATGTACTTTCGAAGCACGTCTCTGCATTCGACATTGCGCAGAAAGACAAAGCGCCCCATATCCCTGCTTCTCGGACATGTCACACTATCAGCACGGGTTTGGCCAATCCGATTAGACAAAAGCCATACCGTGTTTCGCCATCCGAGCGGCGGATTATTAATGAGCAGGTGAACGAAGTGATTGAAAACGGTATCATTCAAGAGTCGGTAAGTCCATGGGCAGCTCCAGTAATTCTCGTTAAAAAGCAAGACGGATCCTGGAGATTTTGCGTCGATTATCGCCGATTGAATGCTGTAACAAAAAAAAGACGTGTACCCACTTCCACGTCTTGATGATGCCATAGACTGTCTGCATTCGGCCTCTTACTTTTCCTCTGTAGACTTAAGATCGGGCTACTGGCAAATTCCCATGCATCCTGGAGATAAAGAAAAGACAGCCTTTGTAACCCCTGACGGCCTTTTTGAATTCAACGTGATGCCATTTGGACTGTGCAACGCGCCGGCGACGTTCGAGCGATTTATGGACACTGTTCTTCGTGGCTTGAAGTGGAGCATTTGCATGTGCTATCTCGACGACGTCGTCATTTTTGGCCGCACCTTCAGCGAACACATTTCACGTCTGGATACTGTACTGACTTGCATAAGAAACGCTGGCCTTGTTCTTAACTCAAATAAATGCCACTTCGGAGACCGACAAACCCTTGTTCTCGGACACCTAGTCGATCAGGAGGGCATCCGTCCAGATCCCCAGAAGACAGCAGCCGTTGAAACGTTCAATGCGCCGCACTCTGTGAAGGAGCTCCGCAGTTTTTTGGGGCTTTGCTCCTATTTTCGCAGCTTTATACCTAAATTTGCCGATGTCGCGTATCCGCTGATATGTTTGCTACGGAAGAATACTCCCTTCGAGTGGACTCCGGAGTGCGACTCCTCTTTTCGTCAACTGAAGTTCCTCCTGACTTCGCGGCCTGTTCTTCAACACTTCAACCCATCAGCTCCAACCGAACTGCACACGGATGCCAGCGGCATAGGAATTGGTGCCGTCCTAGTTCAACGCTATGGTAACCGCGAGCACGGGATTGCATACGCAAGTCGCTCCTTGAGTAGGCCCGAGCAGAATTACA